TGGGGGAGGAAGTTTGGGAGTGAGGGGAGGGAGAGGGAGAAGGGACTTGAAATAAGCTTGTTCCCTAACTAGAACTAATAAAATAATAATAAAAAAGAAAGAAAAGTAACCAAGATGCCAGCTCTCTCCTCCTGCCTATCCAGTCCTCTTCAAGTTCACATCTGCTGTGTCACCCAACCACTATGCCATAACCCCAGAGACTTATCAGCTCAACTCCTCCAGCCCCAGGGCCTTTGCACATGTGATACCCTCTGCCCAAATTCTCATCTTTCCATCTTTGACTGGCAGCCCCTGTTTGAAGTGTCTCTGGGATGTCACCTGCCACCTGTGCTTGTGCTTGTCTTTAGGTACCTCACTGTGGCCTGGGCACAGGCCTGGCTTTCCCAGGCACAGACTTGGGCTCAGTACCCCAATAGCAGACAGGAAGATCAGCTGAGTTCCTTCTCTTCTCAGAGCCTCAGTTTCCCCACCAGTGAAATAGTGCCAGGTTGTAGTCAGGAGTAAAGGATGCAGAAAAAGCTCCCAACCACACTTGACATTTAGTAGGTGCTTGGTAGATGCAAGCACTCAGGCAGGCAAGTGGTGTGAGAAAGGACCGTACCAGCCTCCAGCTCCGGTGACAGCAGTTCAAAGTTGGACACATCCTTGACCAGAACATTGGGGATATCCCACCTGATGGTCAAGCTAAGCTTCTGGCCCTGATCATGGTCAGCACTCCTGGGCTCCTCAATGAGTTCTGGAGAATCCTTAGACACCAGTGACCACAGCACTGGCTCCTTGGTGAGTCCTGGATTGGGAGGGAAAAGATCTGATAGTTGGTGCAGTGGCAGCCTTCAGGGGAAATGGTGTCTAACTATCCACATGTCTCAGTGCTCAAACCAACTCCAAGACTCAGGCTGCAGGATGGGACCCAACGAGGCCCTGCCTTGCGTTCAGCCTGCTCTAGATCCCCAGAGACATAGCTCTGTCCTCAAATTCTGTCCTGGTCCCACCTGCCTGCCTTCTGAGCCTCAGCCCTTCTACCTCAGTTTCCCTCTGTAAAAAGAACTCAAGGCCTGCTGCATGAGAATTAATGCAGTACTCCCAAGCTCTGACCTGGAGTGGGGTGCTGCAGGTTGGGGTGGAGTGCAGGGATTAAGGGTGGGTCTGGAACCCATAGCCTGGGTTCATCTCTCAACCTTGTCTTACAGGGTGACAGCCATGCTTTCCAGCCCTGGGGACCACACACCTCCTGCCAACTGACAATCCCTTGGAGTGCAACTCTCCTCTATCCATCCATCTGCCTCTGTCTTCCCAGGCACTCTACAGCTGGTCCCAAGCCAGTTCAGCTGTCACCTTCAGGAAGCTCTCCCTGCTCACTCTCCCCCATCTCAGGCCAAGATGAAATCGCTCTCTGCCCCATCTCATTGCTGGAGGAGCCTTGTCACCCACAGCCCATCACTATCACCCTGCTTCAGTCTTTGAAGGATCCAGAATGGGACCCAGAAGACTTCTTTCAGTCTCCCTAGTGTGGTTTGACCCCACACAGAGCAGGCACTGAGGTCCCAGGGTTCAAACACCAGAGAGGTGGAGTCAACCTGACATCATCCCATTCCTGCCCTCTGTCACCTACCCCGTCTCTCCAGGAACCTCAGGGCATCCAGATAACCTTGTCTGCAGTAGTCAGCCACCACCTGGGACACATGGAGCAGAAGGGGAAGAGTGCTTGGGGCTCCTTAGCAACAAGCCATGGGCTGGAGACATGTCAGCAAATGGACACAACCCCAGCCCAGCCGGCTGCCCCAGTCACTCTCTGCAGGGCTCAGAAACCCCAGAGTCCCAGTTCTGGTCAGGGAGAGCCAGAATGTGCACACAGCACAGATATCCCTTCCCAATGGCCAGCCCACTCCTTACCTAGAGCTCAGACACCTGCCTCCCTCTGAGGTCCTCCCTCTAGTAGACAGAGTAACATGGACTGAGTCAGGGTCACCAGAGTCTCCACCTGGCTCCCCACAAGCCCAGAGCAGCCCCCTTTCCATTCCCCTCCCCGGGAGGTGTGGTAGGGAGTGAAAGTGAAATTCAGACGACAGCTCTATGGAGTCATCGCTCTTCTTCCACCTTTATGTTGGTACCTGGAATCACCAGGCTTTCTCCACAGGCGCCTTTATCTGCTGAACTCTCTCTCTCTCACTCTCTCTCTCTCTCTCTCTCTCTCTGTGTGTGTGTGTGTGTGTGTGTGTGTGTGTGTGTGTGTGTGTGTTGGCCAAATCCTTGAGAGCTCACTTTCAAGACCATGCTGGACTATTGGAGTATAATCTTGTTCTGCCACCTCTAGGCTGTGTGACTGAACAAGTTACCTAACTTGTCTGAGCCTGTGTCCTCTAAGAAATGGAACACCCTAAGGGCTGGAGGACATTGAGACACACACCTTTCATCCATCACCCGGGAGACAGAGACAGGTAGACCTCTGTGAGTTTGAGACTAGCTTGCTCTACTGGCTAGCCAGGCAAGCCAGGACTACACAGTAAAACTCTGTCTCAAAAACAAAGAACAAAACTAATGAGGTGCTGGAGAGATGGCTCAGCAATTAAAAGCACTGGCTGTTCCTAAGGAGGAACATAGTTCAAGTCCCAGAACCCATGTCGGGTGTCTCACAACTGCCTATTACTCCAGCTCCAGGGGTCCAGCATCTTCTTCTGATCTCTGTGGGTACTGCATTCACATGCATAAATACACACACACACACACACACACACACACACGTGTGTGTGTGTGTACGCACACATATAAATAAAAATATAAATCTACACACACACACACACACACACACACACACACACATATAAATAAAAATATAAATATAAAAAAACAAATGGAAATAAACATCTCTGCTCATTGAGCCTGCCAGTTGAGTGCAGGCCATAGCTGGACTCTAGCCCTCACCCAGGAAGAGGCAGAAGAGGCAAAACCAACCTGAGCTCAGGTTTCTGCTCCAGGGCTTGTGTGACATGAGGCCAGGCAGTAACTGAAGCTGAGGGGAGGGATCATGAGCCAGGACCATGCAGGGTGACCTACCTCAGGCTTGGGGGGGAACAGGGACATGATCCCCTGAAAGAAATTCCTGGTAGAGACCTGGAAACTGGCATTGAAGGCGGTCAGCTCATACAGACTGCTTGAACTGCTCTGGGGACAGATGTCCACCGTCCCATGGAAGGGAGAGACGGTGATGGTGGTGGGAGAGTCGGAGAAGGGCAGGTTGTTGCTCAGAGCTCCATCAATGTAGCGCTGCAAGGCAGGGAGGCAGTGGGCCATGCTGTCTTCCCCACACTCTCACCACTGACTGGTGTCTATATCCCCTTCCAGCCCAGGAGCTGAGCCTCTTTAGGGGAAGCTTGGCACACAGTAGGTGCTCACAGGGAGATAGTGTCCTCACTTTTACCTCCACCTCTGGACAAACTCTTGTTCCAGCTGCCTGGAGCCTAGAGTGTGATGCAGACAGGGGCCCTCCCAAACACACTCACCTCCCCTCTGAACTCCGGAGGGATTGTCCCACAATACATGGGGAAATACAAGGAGCAGATCAAAGCCTGCAAGACAAGACCATCATCCTTGCTCAGTGTTCCACACCTGCTCTCGTGCACGCAGCCACTTGCACAAATGAAGAACAGGGGACCACGGGTCTCCTTGACACCACCTTCCTCTCTCTGCAGAGGGCACCCCAGTTCCCTGGATACTGCACATGGGATGCCCCTAATATTTATATTACTGGTAACAACCCTGGGTCTGTCACAAAGGTGCCACCAATAACCTCTGTGTATTTCTCAAAGAAGGTTCTCAGAATTGATACAAACAGATGCTCTTCTGAGGAGGACTGCCAGGCCCTCCCTCCCCCAAGAGACACCATTTCCTAGTAAAAGCCCTGACAAGTCTTGCTGGGGTGGGGGAAGATGCTTCCTTTATAGACTGATCCTGGAAACACCTGGTGCTGGTCTTGCTGTAAAGGGGTTGTGCACGCAGTCCTGTGTCATGGATGCTTAGGATCATCCCTTGTCTCACCTGCTTGCCAGCAGCATGCAGAATGTAACAGACAAGGATAGCTCCAGCATGGTCAACTATGCTGGAGGTGGCGGAGGAGTAGCACTGTGCAAATACGGCAGACCTAAGGCTCCAAGTTCAGGGAACATAGACCTTCATCTGGGAACGCTGAAGGACCTTCATTCCTCTGACTCTCCCTCAGAGAAGCAGACACAGTCCTAGTTCTGAGGGTTTGCAATATGAGTGACTCCATCCTTCCGACAGATGGCTGCAGTTGATAACAGCTGTCATTCACTGAGTACCTTGCATGTGCCATCAAGGTGAGCACACTGGTACAGGCTCTGAAGTCCCTTCCCTGGCACCAGCCCACAGCAAGTGACACCTCTCAGGCACACCAAGAACCACACACCTATGCTCCAGTAGCTGCTGGCTCAGGCTGTCCCAATGTCCCGTACAGGGCACCAAGATGAGGCTGGGTATTTTCGGACCTTAGTATCAGGGGCAGACATAGACCATTATAGGGCAGGGCTGCACTGAGGGACACTGGGATACTTCACACTAGGCTGAGGCCTTCCAGCATGGAGACCCATATCCCTTCAGAGCTTTCCCCCCTGGCCCTGCTCAACCTTCCTGATCCCCCAAGCCTGCCCACCCCCACCCCACCCCACCCCTGTCTTCTCTGAATGGGCTCCTTTCCTTCCCTGCTGTGCTCTCCTGATGGAGTTTCACATAGGCCCTTTCCTATGAGGTATGCTCATTAGATACAAGCTGGGAGAAGGCAAGGGTTTTCATCTGTGCCCCCCTCCCTGGCAAAAATCACAGCATACAAACAGTGCCCACGCTTACTAGATGCTCACTCAGTAAATGCTTTCTCTGGCAATCAGAAAGCACTTGGAAGATGGGGATGGGCGGGGTGGGACACCTCTGGAATGAGCAACCCTAGATGCCCTGACTATGGAAGCTGACTGCCCCTCAGCCTGGCCCAGGGACACCTCAGGTTCCTCTCCACCCCATCCCCTAGAGAGTCTTGGACTCAGGCCAGTCATGGATATATTTTAGCTTCACACACACACACACACACACACACACACACACACACACACACACACACTATTTGTCGGATTATGTTCCTTGGACCTTAGATCATAATCCAGCATCAGCTCACCTGGATGAGTTCATCCCGAGTGGCAAAATCAGTGACTATCGTGTTCTGGCCATCATACCATCGGGTCATGGAGATGCCCAGCCTCTGGGAGGCCAGGATGTGGCAATTCTCAGGTAGGAAATCCTCCATCTTCTTCCTGATGTGTTCAATGGGGTTATAGGCCGGGTGGAAGATGCCCAGGCTCAGATGCTCCACTTGCTTCACCATGCCGAGGAGATTGGAGCAGCAGAAGTCTGCAAGGTGGTTAGGGCTAAGGTCTCAGCTACCACTGAATACCACCCACACTCACCAAGGGCCCACCTTCTTCAGGGATGCCTGGGAGTCAGTACATAACACCTCCAGGCCTGGATGTCAGTGACCTTAGGGGTAGTATCCCAGCTCTGAAGCCAGGACCCCATCTTTGGAGATAGAAGTGACCACAGTCCTCAAATAAGAGGCCAGGTGTAAAGCCCTCTGGAGGCGGGGGCGCGGGGGGGGGGGCGTTGCCAGATTCGGCTCCCTGCGGGGTCCCTGAACCTCCCCCAAGCACCTGCTGACATGTCACAGACGATGCACACAGCGTTGAGCGCTCCTGAGGAGGAGCCATAGAAGCGGCGGGCACCCTGGAGGATACGTGGTGCGCGCTGGCGCAGACACTGGGTGGCGCCCACGTGGTAGAGGCCCAAGAAGCCGGCGCCTGCAAAGGACAGGCTCCAGCCGTCCTCTGCCTCCAGGAAGTCCATCGTAGGGCGCTTGAAACACCGGGCTGCAGACACCACAGCCTGGATGTAGTGCAGGAGCTGGAAGGACCACTCTCCAGACACCAATGGACTGGGACCAGACAGGGATGAGAATGGAGTTCCGGTGGCTCAGCAGGGCGGCCCCGCCCTAGGCAGAGTCAGCTATGACTCTGGCAAGTGAGTGACTAGCGCGGGGCAACCTTCTCCAGGTGTGCACAGCTGCGTCAGAGTCATTATAAACTGCGAGCACCCTGGCCAGGCGCTCATGTCCACCCTGCTCCAGATTGCAGTCGCCTAACCTCGGGGTGTCTGCAGTTTCGAAAGAAGGAACGGAGGCACAATCAGGAAGGACCAATCCTGACCCGCGGGGCCTCTGAAATCAGGGGGGTCAGAGGACAGCAAGACACGTGGGAGGCTGTAGGCCTGAGGTCTGGACTCATCAGGGAAAGTTTGCTATAGATCAGTGCTTCCAAGTATGCCAACTCCCCTCACTGCAGTCACCAAGAAGTCGCTTACCAGGGACCAGGCTCACAGGTGCACATGTCTGAACACATGAGGTACTTACACAGCCAAGTCATTACATGGAAATTAGGCCAGGCATGCCATGAGGGGCAGGGGAAATGAAGCATACACCAGGATGTTAAGAAGAGAAAGGCTGCAGCAGTGTGTGGGGTGGTGAGCAAAGAGGACCCCAGTAAAGAAATGGGATGAGTGGAACCTAGTGGGACCCACACTGGGCACCAGAGGACCTTACAAGTAGCCGATAAGGACAGATAGCAACGCACAGCAGGCTGCCTGGTGCAAGCATTTCCCCCAACAAGCTCTGCGTCCTAGCCAGGTGGCTCATCCTGTGAAAGAGTTGCCAACTCTGACAGCCAGAGTTTCCACCCCCAGGATCCCCACAACAAAGGGAGAGTATTTACTCCTGTAGGTTGTCCTCTGACCTCCACACATACACCATGCCACATGCAACCACATACACCCACATATGCACGCGTGCACACTCACACACACACACAAAGATAAACAAATGTAAACAGCACTCTGTTGTAAAAATATTATACATCACAGGTGAAATGTCCTACAGGGCGTGGCTCTGGGGAGTTCAGAACAGTGGGAGGAAGGGGAAAAGACCTCACTATATCTGGGGGCTGACAGCAAGTGGGGGTGTACAACAGGGCTAGGCTGGAGCGTGATGCAGGGTCTCCCTGTCCCATCCCCAACAAAGCAGCCAGGAGGGGGCAGCAGGCCTTCAGGACTTCCGTAACTTTTCTGCAGGGCAAACAGCCCCTAGAGGCTTGTGTTGAGATTCTGAGAATCAGGTGAGGCTGGAGGACAAAGGTCAAGGACACACTTTTGCAACTGTGCACTGTCACTGGTGATGGTGCCTGCCAACAACCTGAAAAAGTTCCTTCCCACTGAGGGACTCCATTCAGGTAAAGCCAGGTCCTGATTTTACCACAAAAAAAAAAAAAAAAAAAAAAAAGTTTAACA